CCTCTTTGGCCATTTTTATGTTGGGTTATTTAGCTTGTTATTTGGGAAGTTTGAATTCCTTGTATATTTTGGATAGTCACCCCTTGTCTGAAGTATGATTTGTAAATACTCTCCCAATGTGTGAGTTGTCTCTTCACCCTCGTTTTCTGTGCTCTGAAAAAGAATTTTAGTTGAAAGCTATCCAATTGTTCTATTTTTGCTCTGGTGGCCTGTGCTTTGAGGATTATAGCTGAGAAAGTTCTGTCCTGACCCATGTCAGGGACTTTGCTTCTGTGTTTTCTTCTGTAAATTTCATAGTTTCAAGTAGGATTTTTTTTGGAAGATTTGTTGCTCTTCTGCGCAGGCTGGTCTTGAACTCATGTGATCTTCTTGCATCAACCTCTTGGGTAACTGGAACTATGGGCCAGCTCTGTCACCCCCTGCTTCAAGTCTTACATTTAAATCTTCAATGCATTTTGAGTTTTATTCTTATATAAGGGCTGACATAAGGGTCTATTTTCATTCTTATGTTTGTGAATATCTTAGTTTCTCAACAGTTTTTTCTTGAGATACCCATCTCCCATATTGTATACTTGGCACCTTTGTCAAAAATCCATGCACTATACATGTGTGGGTTTATTTCTAAGTTCTTTTCTATTGGTCATAGCATTTGTTTTGTTGCTGATACCATGCTGTTTTATTTACTGTAGTTTTGTAATCTATGCTGAAATCTGGCATTGTCCTTTTTGGTCAATATTGCTTTGTTTTTCTGGGGGGGTCTCTTTTAGTAAGCAATTTTTTTTTGCTGCTGTGAACAAAAGACCAGACCAGAACAATTTTATAAGAGGAAATGTTTATTTTGAGCTCATGGTTTTAGAGGTCTCCTCCATAGATCACTGGCTCCATTCCACAGGGCCCAAGGAAAGGCAGAATATCATGCAGCTGACTGAGGTAAAGGAAAGCAGCTCAGGACATGGTACCAGGGAGCAGAGAGTGTGAGTTCCACCCAACAAGGACAAATGTTCCCAATGACCCACCTCCACCAGTGGCACTCCACCTGCCTCAGTTACCACCCTGTTAACACCTTCTGGGAATTAATACGCTGATTATGTTAAGACTCTCATAACCCAATCATCTCACCTCTAAACTTTCTTTTTTTTTTTTTAAAGAGAGAGTGAGAGAGGAGAGAGAGAGAGAGAGAATTTTTAATGTTTTATTGTTTAGTTCTCGGCGGACACAACATCTTTGTTGGTATGTGGTGCTGAGGATCGAACCCGGGTCGCACGCATGTCAGGCGAGCGCGCTACCGCTTGAGCCACATCCCCAGCCCTAAACTTTCTTGCATTATCTTCCACATGAGCTTTTGGGAGTCACCTCCTATCTAAACTATAGCTGGGTCTTTTATGGTTCCCTGTGAATTTTAGAAAAAATTTTCCCATTTCTATGTAGAATGAAATTAGAATTTTGAGAAACCTAACTGTTTTTGCTCTTTCCTTTTTCTTTTTTGTGGTGCTGAGATTAAACCCATGACCTCAAGCATGCCAGGGAAGTGCTCTGCCACTGAGTTACACTCCCAGCCTGATGACCCTAAGTTTCTGGTGGAGCCTTCTGTCCTTGGGTCTTCTCTTCATCCCCACTGCTCTGAGTCATTCCCCGGAGGAATCTTGGTGCTGACATTGGCCTTAAGCACAGTGCAGAGCTTACCTTGACCTCCCTGCTCTTCTCAGTTCTGCATCCTCTTTCTCCCTATAGTGCAGGCATCTCCTTCTTGATGGACCTTTGCCTGCTTTCATCTAAACCCTCACCCTTTCAAGGCCTCCATACTCCACCCTACTCTCTTTCCCTGGTCCCTCTGCATCTCTCCACTGTGGGACCTTTTCCTGCACACACTGCCTGCCTAGCTACCCTGAGCCCTCACCAACTTCCATCTGTCACAAGCCCCCTCTGGTGGGAACTTTGCAACCACTACAGCCACTCTCATCTGCCTTCATCCAAAACAACACCCCTGTCCTCACCCTAACCCAAGTTCTCCTAGGGTCACCTGTATGCCATGTTCATCCTGCATACTCCAGGTCATTCCTTGCCCAGACCACTAATCTCTTTGCCCTTCTTATCTCCCCTCCCCATCATACCAGAAGAAGGCTCTTGGTCCACCTACCTCTTGACCTTCCCCCTTCTTATGGTTCCTTTACCTCAGAGGACTTTGGCTCCCTTCACTATGTATCCAAAATCTGTGTTTTGCTACTCAGTTGTTCCTGCTGTTCCCTTACTCTGTCCTCTCCCAGCACCAGCTTCCTCCTGGAGTGTTTTTGTTTGGTTATTCATTTCTTTGATCTGATCATTGGACCCAAGACCCCAACCATGCCCCCCCACCCACTGAGCAACCCCTCAACCACCCATAATGGTTTTCTAACCTGGTGCTTTTTTGGGGTGTGACCAGCTCCCACCACCCCTTCCAATTCTGAAGGCTTCCCCCAGGTTGTGCAACTTGTCCACCTGCCTTGATTCTCTCTTTTCAGGCCTACACCTCCTTCTTCTTTCTGATTCTACAATCTGTAGTACACTGCCCTGATTTCTGTTTGGTGTTTAACTGTGGTAAAATAGACATAATGTACAGTTTAAAATTTGAACCATTTTAAGTGTACAATTCAGTGGCATTTAGTGCGTTCACATTTTTGTGGAGACTGAAACTCTGTACCCATTAAACAGTAAGCATCCATTCTCCCCACCCCAGTCCCTGTCTTCTTTCTGCAGCATTCTACATTCTGTCTCTACGAATTGGCTCCCTAAGTGCCTCATACAAGTGCAATCATTCAGAGTTTGTCCTTTCATGACTGTCTTCTTCACTTAGCATAATGTCCTCATGATCATCCGTGGTGTAGCAATTGTCAGAATGTCCTTTGTTTTTAATGCTGAATAATTTCGATTCTGCATAAAAGCCATATTTTGATTAGATGCTCCTCAGTTGATAGATACTGGGGTTACTTCTATCTTTTTGGCTTTTGGAAACAATGCTGCTATAAATTTGCACCTACAAATATCTCTGCACTTACCTGCCTTCACTACTTTTGTGTTTATATCCAGAAATAGAATTACTGGATCATTTAGAAAGTATCCTTTGAGCATTTGGAGGAACCACCATCCAATTTTCATAACAGCTGCTCCATTGTATATATAGGAAGCAGTGCACCCCCATGCTGCAGTTTTCTATGTACTTAGGAACTTGTTTGTTCTGCATTCTTTTTTTCTAAGCAGTAGCCATCCTCATGGGTCCAAAGTGGAATCTTATTGTGCTTTTATTTTCATTTCCCTAATGACTGCTAATGTTGAGCATCTCTTCAAGTGCTCATTGGCTATTTGTATAACTCCTTAGGTAACTGGCCTTTGCCAGTTCTAAATAGGTTGAAATATTTTATATGGTTGAGTTGTTGAGATTCTTTTTTGTTTGCTTGTATGTGGAGCTGGGATCAATCTCAGACATTGCACATGGCTAGTCAAGTGCCCCACAACTGAGCTAATCTAAGCTCAGGAGTTCTTCATATGTTCTGAATGTTCATCTCTTATTAGATATATGACTTGCAACTATCTTTTCCCATCCTGCAGGTCATCATTTCTGGGCATATCCTTTGATATATTGAAGTTTGTATGTTTTTAATTTGGATGAGTCCAATTTATTAATTATTTTTCTATAGTGTCTATGATTTTTGTGTCACATCATTGAAAATGTGGTCAAATCCTTTGTTGTGAAGATTATTGCAAACACATTTTCCATTATGTGTGTGTTTGTGTATGTGTATATGTATGTGTATCTATCTATCTATATGAAATGTATGTGTGTGTGTATATATATATGTGTATATATATATATATGTGTGTGTGTGTGTGTGTGTGTGTGTGTATACACACACACACTCTTAAGTATTGAACCTAGGCACTTGCACATTGTAGGCAAGCACTCTATCATTGAGCTACATCCCCAGATCTGAGTAAATATCTGTATGTGAGTAAGTAAATTGTCCAACTTTGTTGTTTGCATTTGGAAATCCATTTATTCTAGTGCCATCTATTGAAAAGATGTATCAAGTCTTTGGAAACTGCGACCTGTGGAGTCCCAGGAGATGCTAGCAGGATCTCTCAATCTGGAGCTTCAAGATGCTGATTAGGACCCAGCCCACAGCTTTACAGTCCTTTAGGGTACAACAGCACTCAACACTTTTGGGGCTACAACCCTCCCTCCCACCGCCATTCCTGCCTGTCCCACCTTATCTGTGAGAAGTCTGTGCAGAGGCAGCACACCCCTCTGGACCCCTGCCCTGCCTGGGCTGAATACCAGTGGTCATGGGTCCTCCTTCCCTCCTGGGCCATCCCTGCCACCCTCTCCATTATTTATTCTTTTCTTCTCTTCTCTTCTCTTCTCTTCTCTTCTCTTCTCTTTTCTTCTCTTCTCTTCTCTTCTCTTCTCTCTCTCTCTCTCTCTCTCTCTCTCTCTGGATTGAACTCAGGGGCATTCCACCACTGAGCCATGTCCTCAGACTTTTTTGTGTGTTTTAATTAGAGACAGGATTTCACTGTGTTGCTTAGTGCCTCACTTTTGCTGAGGCTGGTTTTTAACTTTCGATCCTCCTGCCTCAGCCTCCTAAGCCCTGGAGTTACAGTTGTGTGCCACAGCACCTGGCTCCAGCCTCTCATTTCAAACACTCCCTATACCCTAAACAAGTCTGTGGCCTTGTCTTGGGCCCTGGCCTACATGCTGCCCCTCTCCATTTCCCTTTTCTCTGTTCCTCACTTCCCCTCTCCTTCCTCTCTACTTTCCTGTCTTCATTGCATTGGAAATCTTTCTTCTGTCCCTTTGTCTGTGTGTTTGCTGCCTCCTCAGGTGCTCAGGACAGCAGAGCCTTTGTGGTGAGCATTGGTGAGCAGTTGTCCACAGGTAGAAGGGTCATCAGCTGTTTCCTCTTCCACAGGGACCCAGTCTTCACTATAAGCTCACAGTGAGGTCCCGAGGTGGATCAGTGTAATCAAGGTTTTTTGCTGATTGTTATTGGGACCATCAGCTCTTCCTTCAGTATGATAGTCACCATAAAGAAAGTGCAAAGCCCCAGGAGCTATGGGCAGAAAAACCTTTGGGAACTGAGAGCTGGGACACAGAGATCTGGGAGTTGATAGAGCACAGCAATAATCTAAAAGCAACACTGGCAGAAATCAATGCCCAGCAGGAGCAGAAAGGAGGTGAGTGTGGGTGGGAGCAAGGATGACATGAGCTTTCTCCTGGGAGACTGGTGACAAAGAGCAGGGTCCTGTCTCTTTTCACTGCAGTTGACTAGGGAGGGCAAGAAATGGGCTCCATGCAGCTAAGCACATGGGATATTGAGGAGAATTACTTTGGGGGTCTTCTGTGGGCTGGAGTTTCTACTTGGTGGGTAGGGAGGCATAAGGGCCAGGGGATGGAGAAGTGACTGGTGGGTGGGGGCAGGGTCTCATTCCCTCCAGGAGACTTGAGGTTGCAAGATTGAAGAGGACAACCACACCAGGGGCTTCTGGAATTTCCACTATGATGGGGAGCCCTTCCTCTCCTATCACCCAGAGACACGCAGCTGGAAAGTGGAACCATCATCAGCTCAGACCTTGGCAATGGAAGTCAAGAATTCCTGGGATGCAGATGGCATTCAAAGCAAGGTTTACCAGGCCCATGTGCAGGGAGAGCTTTGTGGAAGACTCAGGAGATATCAAGTCTCCTGGAAGGGCTCCTCTCTCTCCTCTGGAGCCTCTGCCCAGGGGAACTTGTGTGAGCTTTTGTGTGTGTCTGTTGTGATTTTCCTGTTACACCACTAGACAGAGACAAGAGGTTGTATGTGCCCAGACACTAGTGAGCCCCCCCTGCCTAAGTGCCTGCCAGCTTGCTAATATAGAGAGCTCCAACCTGGCTCCACAACCCTGGACCTCCCCAAAATGCCCTTCTGAACCTCAAAAACCAGGAGTCCCTGAAACAGCCTCTCCTCAACTTCAATATGTGGAAGTGAGAATGTGAGGCCACAAGCCCGAGGCCCATGCTCCTGCTAGTTAGAGGACTCAGGCCCCAGGCTGAGAACAGACTTTCAGGATCTGGGCTCAATGAGGACTTTGACAATAGTCAGAAGAGTGGAGAAGATCAGCCCTGTTCCAACCCTTAGAGGGGAGCGACTTTGGTCACATGCCTGACTAACTTTGCCCTTTCTTCTCTAGTGTCCCCAGCAGTAAATGTGACCTGTGGTGAGGCGCTGGAGGACACCATCAACATGACATATTGGGCTTTTGGCTTCTATCCCCAGAATATCTCTGTGACCTGGCTTCAGGATGGGGAACCACGGAGCCAGGACACCCAGCAGTCTTGGGGTGTTTTTCCCTATGTGAATGGGACCTACCAGACCTGGGTGTCCATTAGGATTCCCCAAGGACAAGAGCAGAGGTTCTGCTGCTATGTGGGATACAGAGTGTTATGCTCGAATTCGGGACCCCCAAAGACCACCAGAGACCCAAGATCTATGTAAGCAGCAAAGAGGTGTTTATTGCAAGCTAGCTCAGTCCTCCGCGTACATACACAGCAACTGGTGCCGCTGAGAGGCCCCGAGCCCAGGGTTTTCAGCAGTTTTGTACATTCTTTGGAGAGGGCAGGGACTTCATATACATCATAGCAAATCATCACACACCACGGGAAAATCAAATAACAACCCTAAACCATGATTAGCACATTCACTGGCGGGAACAAGTTGAGTAGGGGTGATTGGTCAGTACAAAAGGGGTATTCATTTGAACTGATTGGTTTGAGCCAAGAGGGGTGTTCGTGCTGATCTACATGGTTTCCCAACTTGTTACCAATCACCATAAACTTCTGGGAGGGTTATCTGGCATCCCAGGTATTTCCCTGTCTCATGCTGATTGGTGGCTGCTAGGGGGCTGCTATGGATCCCCACCTAGCCTGACTGAGTCAGGGACACCTGGTGCAGCAGATCTCTCCTGTTATTTGTAGATAAACAACTTAGCAGGGTGGGAATGTGCCTAGGAGTGCTCTGTGGGTTTTTCCAAGGACAAAGGTGATGTCCCTTCCTTGGACAGGCTTTGTTCTGAGATAGAGGCTGGTTTTTCAAGAGGGAACAACAGCACTGGCCTTGTGTCCTGTGGTGAGCTTGGGCATTCCTGCCGGAGTTTCCAACCAGGTGAGTCAGTGACCCTGGGTGGTGAGAGGGGAGAAGCCTTGAGATTGTGGTACCCAGAGTGTAAGAAGCCTGCTTTCATGGACTGCACTGCTGCTGGTGAGCCAATGGCCACCTTTGTGGTGGTATCCACTGTTACTGCTGGGATTGTTTTCTTGAATTCCTTCCTGCAAGAAGAGGAGGACATCAGCTGAAGAGGGTTCAGGTGAGAAAATCATTCAGTGGCTGAAGATGGCAGGGCCTGTCTGGGATGTAGGGCCCCTCATGCCTCCTGCTGATCAGAGAGCCATGGAGTTGAGCAGCCTTTGGAAGAGAGGGTGGAGGTCTGTGTATCTGTGAAGGGATGGAAGCCAAGCCTCCAGCTACACCCCTTAGTGCTGCCCAAAGCCAGGGCTGTCAACTCCTTCACTGTCCAGCGATAGCCTCTTCTGGCTGCAGGGTGAGGAGTGCGCAGCATTGGTGCCATGGCTCCTGCTCTGTCCTTGTCTCTCTCTCAGGCCCTGCTGGCTTGTCCATGGGGCTGTGTTGGGAATGGTGGGCTGATTGGTGTGGGCTAGATTATCATGGCCTCCAGGGGACACAGAATAAATGAGT